CCAAAGTGCAGCTTTTATTTAGAATGAATCTGTGCTCGGCTCCTTGGATGTACACACGATTATTTGGACCTATGCACACATTTCTGTAAGGCAGAAGTTTTCCATGAATAATAGCTCTAGGAACCCAAAAAGTATCTCAGAAAATTGTCAAGCTTAGAGAACAGGCAACAACTGCAATAGAATTTATATCATTTGCCCCAATTACTACACCACTTTGCCCTCAAGATACTCAATTCAGCATCTTATTTTTGGGGTAATAAAGGAAAATTCATCTGACAAAGGGCATGATGCAGAATGCATCTATAAAAGACACTTTTCATCTTAATGTTGAAAAGCTGACTTACTTTTCTTCCAATGGAAGAAATGTTGGCCAAATTGTCAAAACAACAATAACAACAAAAACCCGCCACCCAGCTCTTAATGTGGAATTTAACCTCTCATTTTCTTCTAAAAGTTATCTTTTAACAGCAGTAATAAAAAAACAAAACTTCATTGCCAGGCATTTAAACAATTTAAAGGAAAATATCTATGTTGGTAGGAAAAAAAAAAGTTATTCATTTTTCTGAACTACTGTGTCATTTTTTGGGTTTTTTTTGTGTTTTTGTTTTTTTGTTTGTTTGTTTTGCCCTTCACAGACATATCTAAAACAGTGATCATGGAGTAGAAATTTGATTTTATATCCTTAGAGATAATAATATGAAGCTAAAGAGTATTTTCCAAAGAATCTGGTAGTGTAAAATATCTGATGTAGGAATATCTAACCAATGACCACTGAGATTGCTAAGAGTAAAATGAGAAAATTCTAAACCAGTAAACCTTGCTGATTTGCTCTGCTCTACACAACTTACTATGTTTAATACAGCATCTATTAACAGCTTTACTCAAAGCACAAGTTGTGAGCTGACTAAATTCTAAGCCTGCCCCGTACTTGGCCCTTGGTCTGAATAGAGAACTGACAATTTCAGGTTAGACTCTGGCTCATGTCTTGTATATGTCGCTGGACATATTATTTTACTTTTCATCCTTTATTTACTTTTGAGATTCAGAAATCTCCTATCTGCCTGAACATGATGCTTTGATACCTAATTTAATATTACATGTAAAAAGTTACATAAATCTAATATTTTGTATAAAAATGTCATTTTCTTTAACTTCTCTTTTTGTTATTCATCAGTGCCCATGCAAGGAACCTGTTTATGGTGCTCAGACTCTTCACAGAGAACAATCCAGATACGCTCATCTCAGTTTTCTGGAAGGTGCTTCCTAGCCCCTGTACATCTGGTTTCTCTTCACATAGAAGACTGTGCAGCATCTGCTTGGTATCTTGGCTGGATTTTTCCGAGAAGAACCTACGGGGGAATGCCGACTTGCACTCCGAATTTGTAAATCACAGTCATAAAATCGGATGAAAATACACATATGCTCCTCACTATCAGTATACTGAATTTATAAACCCAAAGCTGTCAAAAAGAAGAAAGCTGAAGAAATACCTTGTCTATGTGATTACTTCCCCAGCCTTGAAAAATGCTGGCCTTACACATTTGATCATTGTTTTTAAAAATCACATTCCTTTCATTCAATCAATAAACATTCCGTGAACTCCTGCTGTGAGTGGCCACTGTACCTTTCTCTCCTTTCTAAAAGAACGCAATGGGGCTTTATTTAGTGGGTTGAAGGCAGCAATAAGCACACATCGATTTATGCTTGAGTTTTGACGTCAGTTTCAAGGTAATCTCTTTCATATAGGAGGAAAGAAGGAAGGTCACGGTAAAGAAGGGAAGGGAGGAAGGTGCTCAGCACCTACTAAGTGTCAAGCACCAAGCCAGGAACTCTGCGGCTGTTTGATGTAGCTTGATGTAGAACTATAGGAGGTATTTATTTTCCCTGTTTTATGGACAAGGATAAAAAGCTTTTGACGGGCTCAACAACTATTCAAGACCACTCCCCATGCTACACTGTAGTTTATCTTCCAAACAGATTCACCACCTGAAGAGGCAATCGACATGATTCCAAAATCTGAACGAAGATCCGAGGATCTCCAAAGTCAAAACTCAAGGCATACTATTTTTGTTGATTTTACACCACCAAGATGCTGTAAGTTTCTCGGGACAAAGAAACCACTTGAGTACAGCTATTCTAATTTGCTTCGATTCCTTTGGTGGGAAGGAGGCCTTGCATTTCCTGAACCAAGAGATATCTTATGTAAATAAAATCTTTCTTTCCTCACCCCCAAAATTTTGTTAAAAGATGAACTGAACAAAAATTTTACTATACTCCTCCAAATTCCTCAGTGTTATAAAGTAAAAGTCTCTATTTAATGTTTCTTGATGTTCTAGGAAATACAAATCAAGATGCTCCTCTAATTCTGATAACATATTTGTCCCTCAGAAACTTTGTTTACCTTTCCCTATTAAGGATATCATGAATGTTAGATAAAATTTAAAATGCTATAAAAAAAAATTACTCATCCTAACAGTAATTGTCTTCAGATACAATTCGTGGTAAGACTACTTCCTTTCTCTAATCTTCTAACTCTTGCCTGACCTTGATTTGATGCAAAAGGAACTGAGGGGTTCCTTTAATACTTCTCTGCTTAAAGCTTTCTCTGTCTGGCTTTAGGTAAGAGGTCTTTCAAGTCCATTGGCTGACTCAGCATTCTAGATTGTGACTTTTTTTTTTTTTTTTTGACAGATCACAAGTAGGCAGAGAGGCAGGCAGAGAGAGAGAGAGAGGAGGAGGAGGCAGGCTCCCTGCTGAGCAGAGAGCCCGATGCGGGACTCGATCCCAGGACCCTGAGATCACGACCTGAGCCGAAGGCAGAGGATTTAACCACTGAGCCACCCAGGCGCCCCATAGATTGTGACTCTTAATTTAGTTAAAAGGTCATTATTTTCAAATTCCAATATCAGACACCAAGAGATCCAAAATTCAGCAAGTTAACTGCACTTAGATATTACACAAATAGAAAATAAAACTTGACCAGAGTCCCTTTTCTTGGTTACAGTAGATTGCATTATAATGCCAATGGTGAAAATAATAGATTTTTCAGATATTGGGTTCTTTCTAGCAACAGTTCAACAAATGCATGTAAATGCACATCTGTGAAATAAATCTGCCAAATTGCTGCACCTGGAAATGGGGTCTTGAACAGGAAGCCATTGATTATCGCAATAAATTTTATCTGTAATCTATCCAGACCCCCCACTCCTTAAGAAAAATCCAGCCCAGGGGCTCCTGGGTGGCTCAGTGGGTTAAAGCCTCTGCCTTTGGCTCAGGTCATGATCCCAGGGTCCTGGGATCGAGCCCCACGTTGGGCTCTCTGCTCAGCGGGGAGGCTGCTTCCCTTCCTCTCTCTCTGCCTGCCTCTCTGCCTACTTGTGATCACTGTCAAATAAAAAAAAAAAAACTTAAAAAAAAAAAAAAAAAAAAGAAGAAGAAAGAAAGAAAGAAAGAAAAAGAAAAATCCAGCCTGGAAATCTGAAAGACTCTGGTTCACTTGAAAAAAATTTAAAAATTAAAAAAAATATATGAAAGGTTGATTGGAGTCTAATCCTCACTTATCTGCAAGCTACATACAGTTTAAAGGACCATTTATACATGTTTGCAAGCTTCATTTCCTTGCGTTTGCATTTAAGAATGAGACTGATTCTACGGTATCAAAATTAATCTCTACAAGTAGATAAACTATGTAAACCTTACATTTTTAAAGACCTTGGAGACCTAAACTGCTCACCTAGAGACTGGCACACACCAGGAAGAAAATGAACATAAGATGCTTCTCCTTTGGGAGTTTCCTAGTCTTGAGCTTCACAATACTGAGGTAAACTTTAGCAGATTGTGTGTACTTCCAAGTAGCGCAGGAAAGATTCTGTAACAGGACTAATGGCTCATGGGCTCTCTGAAGCTGCCTAGCCGTGCTCCGCCCCCCACCCCAGCCTGTGGTATACCTGGACCTTCTTTGGTAATTTCCTTTCAATTACTTTTTTGGTCCCATCAATATGGCTGCATTTTCTAAGCAGGAAATAAAACTACCCACAGCCAAAGGCAGGCACAGTAAGAATTAGAAAGACTCCAGATGTGTCTTGATGTCCTTCTCCCACTCTATTCTACTCTCCTTTTGGGCTGTGGTTATGCAGGGCTCCTAATGGCTGCCACTGCTGACCTCCCTGCCCCCATGGGCCTGACATCAGAAACCTGATTGGGGTGGGGGGAGGGGGGATGGAGAACAGCAATGGCCATGACAGTCCCCAAGGAGTGAGGAAAACTAGAGATCAAGTTACACAGCTGATCTTGCTCAGCTGTCTGTGAGAGCAAGATACCATTCCTGGTCCTAACACTACACTTCAGGTTAAATTAAACTCTAGAAGTCAGAACAAACCCTTTCCCCTTGCCGATATTCCTCAATTCATCAGCTCTATGATCCTACTTATACACAAAATAACTATGAAAAGCACCTTAAAATAAGAGTTCTGTCACCAAACTATTCTATAGAGAATCATATAAAATATCTCAACCCATGAAAACACAGTCATATATGGAGTGAAAAAAAAAAAAAAAGATGTATGCTAAAATATAAAAGTAAAGGCCCTAATTCTCAAGTTAAAGGCTAATATGGAAATGACGTAATGATGAGCCAATGCCAGAAACCTGCTTTTTGTCTTGAATTACACTTAAAATTAGTTATCACCCAAACGTCTTAGCCATCAAGAATTCAGAGAATGGAGGGGAGGATCCCCAAAACAGGCACAAGACCTGATCTCAAAAACCAAACTCAGTACCTCTTCATGTATGATGTTTTTACTGCCTTGTTTCTAGCTATTATAAGTTAGTTACCCAGTGTACTAAGTTGATTATTCCAGAATTTTTCCAAGCAAAAAGTTAAGCTGTTGAGTATTTCCAGGGTCATCATCCATTTCCCTTTTTGAAAGAAGTTTCTAAATATGCCCATTTCCAGTCTTCAGGCACCTCATGAGTCCTCCACGAGTTCTCAAAAATGATATCTAGCGGTTCTGTGATGACTTCGGCCAATTCATTAAGTACTCTAGGATGCCAGCCATTGGGACCTGTGGATTTGAACATATCGGGGTTATTGAGGTTTCTCCTTTACCCATTCTTCCCCTAGTCCATCATGGGTTCCTGCTCCTATTTTTTTTTTAAGTAAACTTGACCCCCCAGTGTGGGGCTTGAACTCATGACCCCAAGATCAAGAGTCACATGCTCTACCAACTGCTGCTCCTATTTTTAAGTCACAATTGTCCCTTTCTGGTTACCACATGGACTTCTGAAAAAACAGCATTTTTAAAGACTCTATTTGTCAGAGAGAGAGAGAGACAGAGACAGAGAGCACTAGCATAAGTAGGAGGAGTGGCAGACAGAAGGAGAAGCAAGCTCCCGCTGAGGAAGGAGGCCGATGCAGGACTCGATCCCAGGATCCTGGGATCATGCTCTTAGCTGAAGGCAGATGCTTAACCAACTGAGCCACCCAGGCATCCCTGAAAAAAATAGCTTTAAGTCTCTGTTTTTTATCTATCCATTTTCTCCTTGAAGTTACTAAATGAAAAATGTATTTTATTCTTTTCCAACCTGTCTTATTTAAAAAGGTTCTGTTTTTCCTTTTACAGTTCTTGTAAGAACAAGAAAGTAAAAAAATAATATTAATGAAAAGTATATCTTGCAACAGTTTTTCTCCCTAAATCACACCCCTCCCTATGGCATCCGAGCATCCTTGGTTAACAGAGCAAGCATCGACACACTTGGAGACATTTTACGGGCCACCTATCTTGTGCTCAGAGGGTACAGATCTATCTGTAAGCACTAATTCAAAGAGCACTTTCTGAAATAAAAAAGATTCACAATCATCTTTAACTAGAATCATCTGTATGCATAAACAGCAACTTTCTTCACATAGGCATTTAAAAAGCATAGTTGCACACGAGCTGGAAGAAAGGAAGAATGACTCCCCACAAAGCAGGACCCTGGTAGAATTCATCTGTGTGGTGTGGTCATCTGTGCCAATGTTCTGGGCCTGCTATTACACTAATTATCGCCGAGCTCTGATAGGTGTTGACAGTTTTAACCCCTTCGCTGTCACGGTGATGCCTCAGAAACTGAAAGCCAACCACAGATTACAGTTTCTTGCCCATATGTTGCCATTTGCCCCAAATCCCCTGACAGATTGAGAATAGACAGAGGGGAGGAAGAAAGCAAGAGAGAGCTATGGTAGAAGGAGGGGCCCTGAGTCTTCTATGTGATTTCTGATCTGACAGGCGGACTGTGTCACTTGGACTCCACTGTTGACTTGTTTCACTTTGTTTTCCAATTCGAAAAGCTTTTGGTAAAGGTTGAATCAATTTTGTTGTCTTTTGTTTTGTGTTTCTAGTCGCTATCTCTCCAGTCTTACCCCCAGTTTCATCTCTTAAAGCTGTGTTAAGTGAAAAAAAAACAAAAAAAAAACAACAACATAAAAAAAACCACATTGTAGACACCATTAAAAGACAATCTTTTTAAAAAATAATTCTGCACATCTCTCTAGGGTACAACAATTTGTTTTAGCACATGCCATTTTCACCCCTGTTCAAATAGCCACCTGCTGATGGCAATATGTTAACTAATATGTCATTATTAATTAGTTTGGGTAGTATCATCCAACAATTACATCTAAATGGAGAAAAAGTGTTAATATCCATGCTCAGGATAAAGTGTTACTATCTATTCTCCAGGGAATCAAGATCTTTATGAGTCTTTTTTTTCTATATTATTAAGTAATAAATTCATACCACTAATTACTAAATTCAAATAATCACTCAAATAAACTCATATCTAAGGCAGTGCCTCTATTAAAATCACCTTCAGTTACAAACTGTGGAAAAGTAATGTTCAATCTGTTTCGACAAACCAACTTTTCGGCGGGGAACAAGGGGAAGTTTGTAGAGGAGGGAAGTCACCCTAGTATAAAGAAGGCAAGACTCCTTTTTTTTTTTTTTAAGATTTATTTATTTGAGAGAAACAGAAAGGGTATAGGAGCACGGGGAGGGGCAGAGTGGGAGAGAGAGAGAGAGAGAATCCCAAGCAGACTCTATGCTGAGCGCAGAGCCTGATGCAGGGCTCCATCCCATGACCCTAAGGTCATGACCTGAGCCAAAATCAAGAGTCAGACACTTCACCTACTGAGCCACCCAGGCACCTCAAGTCAGTCCAGTTTCTAATCCTGAAACAGGTGAATGAATGAAAAGGTATTCCACCAAAAACTGTATTAGTCAATACAGTGCAAGAGAAGGCACTGAAAAAAAAAAAAGAGAGAGAGAGAGAGAGAAAGCAGAAAGCGCCTCAGGTCACAGTATTAGGGGTTTCTGAGATGGCAGGAGGACCACAGCCAGGATCAAGGAAGAGTCACAGAGGGAAGGAAGAGGCCAAATCGGAAGGACAATCTTATTAAAATGGAAGATTCTCAGGTGCCTGCCCATGCTAGATAGAGCTCTGGACGTCAGAAAGATGGTCTCATCTACCTTTAAAAGGTCATTTTTATTCTAGGAATCTCTGAAAGTGAAGAAAATGCCTTTGGACAGGTTATCACCAGCAAGCACAGACACCTCCATATTAAACCCCTCTAAAGATGTGGACCACAGAATCATTCACAAATCTAGCATCAAGCTGACGGCCTGCGAAACCTCCTGTGCCTTTGGTTCAACAAAAACAAATCACGTTCATTAAACAAGCCCAGCCTTGCATTTGGCTATTTTCCGTACTTTGGGGAAGAAGGTGGGAGGCAGACAAACAGGCTCTCCACAGTTGGGTCAAGGAGAGTTTTCACAATGCGAGAACAGTCTCGGAGAGCAGTAATGAGCCCAGTGCACGTGGCCACATGATCACAAGGAAACGTCGCCTGATAGATCCCACTCTTCGTGTGGAATAGAAATGAACAGGTTTTTAAAGTTCTGGCTGGCTTTCGGGAGAGAACAGCTGTAAGTTTAAGTTTTAGGGGCAGACAGGCACCGCCAGGCTGGCCTCATTCCACAGAGCTGCTCTCACCTCACCATGCTTTTTTTTCATACTTCCTTTCCTCCTCTAAATTATCTGGGATACGCCCACCAAGAGAGAAGCTCTCTAAAAATCTGCTTATATGTATCTATCAAAAGGCTTCTTTGGATACAGTACTAGGTTGACAAAAAAAAATCATGAATGGCATTATTTCAACTCTGGTCCTTTCTCGAAATCATGGAAGCCAACCTCGGGAACAATAAATAGCAGGTTATATTTTTGGTTCTATCAGTGCTCCTGGAGTCTTGCTCTTGTGAATAATGAAGGCCAGTAGTTTGCTTTTTTTTGTTTGTTGTTTTTTTTTTGTTTTTTTTTGTAATGTTCCAAATTATATCTCCCTATTTCTAGGGAAATACTGTTTAAAAAAAAAAAAAAAAAAAGTTTCTTAGCTCAGTGGCCTCATTCTCCCCCTACCTGTCTTTGAACAAGACACTGGGTACTGTGCATAAACAATGAATTTTGGAAGACTGAAAAGAAACAAAATAAAAGCAGTGTCAAGCAGAGTTCTTATATTAGGGCTACACAAACCTAATTCTTGAACTGAACTGTGACTTTCTCAGTTATATTCATTCCATTATGGGAAAGGGGAGGAGAAGTGGGGGAATTCTTTCATTTCACAGATATTTGCCAATTCTAATCTATGTTAGAGTTCCAATCTGAGAAACAGAGAGGGGCAGCAAAATTTATTGAATGAATAAAGAGACTATTGTCCTGTGGTTAAAAATGAAGATTTATGAGATTACATTTTTTTTCCTCAGGTGATTATTCTGAATTTTAACTGATTTCAAGTCTGTTACTCTTTTTAGCTTGGTATTTTCCACCACTAACTAAAGACAATCAGAGTTATATGAAGGCTATCCCATATAAAAATTATTTCTCTGTTGTGTTATTATTCTAAAGGATAGAGCTCCATTGTAGACGTAGAATCAAGAGACAGAAAATCTCTGCATTTGGTTGCTGGGATAAACACCCACAACTAGTGAGTGTACATTAATATCCCATATAATTCCTTACAAGGGCGGGGGACAACCATCTCATAAGGAAAAATTAAGATTCATGGTACAAATACTACCTTCTCTCCTTCTGGATGACACAAGGGGGACAAAGTTGAATCTGTGGGTGGTCCGGTGACAAGACAGAAAGGTTTTTTTATGCCATGACTTTCTCAAGCTAAGTTTACCAACATGCAGCCACAACACATTGCCTCTCGTTATGGAACCCAGGATGGTTAGAATTGGCTTAGAAGAGGGGGGGCTTAAATCCAGCTTCATTTTAACTCTAAACTTCTCCAAGCGCAGAAACGCATTGCATACTTCTTTGTATCTCCAGTGGGAATATATATACTACTGCTGATTGATTGAATCATCCACAGTATAATTTTTATGTATAATTCCTCAGTAAACTAAGTTTCTATGGAAAATACTAGCAAGTCAGCTGGGAGCATATTTTCCTTTGCCTATACAACAGAGAAAAACTTTTTGATATATATCCACTCTACCAGTAATGGTCACCTTTCAGTTCCTCAAAAGGCTTCTGAGGGTCCCCTAGGGAAGGCCTAAGCCACCTCCCAGACCCCACTAAGCTGGAGGATGCCCTCTTATGTTAAAAAATTAGCTGGCTTCCATGTCCTTTTTCTGCTAGAGGAATCATACAAGGCAGATTTCCCAGGGACTTTCTGTCCAAGACTAAAAAATGTTTGACCTAATACAGAATGATCTACGTATATTGGTTTTTTTTCCTCTGTTTTTTTGACTTTTTTTTGTTTTGTTTGTTTTTTTACTTTTAACACAAACCCCCGATGCTATATAAACTCTTCTGTGCAGTTCTCCTATCTGTCTTCATCTGCGGTGTGTCCTTGCGAAGTACCGATTTACTATCCAGTTCCTGAAAAAAAAAATTCAGTAGGCTAAAATAAACGGCACAAGCACGCTTCTCACTCCCTCCTCTCAACCCACATGGGTTCTAAACTTCACTCAGGACTTATCTGCAGGTTTTCAGCAAATGGAAAGTATACCGGGGAGGCTGG